TCTCCCAGAGGCTAGCACTGCTAGTGCCTGTTCTCTCCTCATACTTAAATAGCTTTGACTATAAATTAAACTATTCGCTTTAAAAGCCTATAAATCCTTCTCCTCCCACTTCTATTTCATCCAGCACAACTCAGCAGGGACTTGGAAGCATGGAAACACCATGTATTCCTTCCTTCCTCACTGTCCCACATTGTCTTAGAATCACGCTCTAAGATCAGATATTTCAAAAATCAATCAATCAATTAATCGGTCATTTTGGGTAAGAGTCTTCTTAATTTTCTAGAACTTTGGTGTAACTCTTTATATGTTATGTCTCATCAAGTCATATCAGATATACAGAGGCCTGAAGAGGGTTTTCGAAGTATGTGAGATATTTATCCAGTGAGTCTCCATGACTTAGCAGGGGTTTGAACCCAGATCTCTTGCGTCTCATTCTGTCCATTTACCATATCTCATCAAGTCATATCAGATATACAGAGGCCTGAAGAGGGTTTTCGAAGTATGTGAGATGTTTATCCAGTGAGTTTCCATGACTCAGCAGGGATTTGAACCCAGATATCTTGCGTCTCATTCTGTCCATTTACCATACGGGCTCTTTTACATACAAATGAAGCTCTTTAATTTGAAGTAGTCTCACTGCTTTTTCTCCCATTTTTTCCCTTCTGCTTTAATTGTGATACAAGAGCTTGCCCTTGGAATAAAGGCCAAAAGTTTATCCAGTGAGTTTCCATGACTCAGCAGGGATTTGAACCCAGATATCTTGCGTCTCATTCTGTCCATTTACCATACGGGCTCTTTTACATACAAATGAAGCTCTTTAATTTGAAGTAGTCTCACTGCTTTTTCTCCCATTTTTTCCCTTCTGCTTTAATTGTGATACAAGAGCTTGCCCTTGGAATAAAGGCCAAAAACTGTTTTTCGTTTCTTGCAATTCCTAGAGATTTCCAGCCGACAAAGCATACTTCATTGCTAAGGAGGTTTCCACTACAGAACGAACTTATCTGAAAGACCTTGAAGTCATCACATCGGTAAGTTTGGTTTTTTTATAGATATACAAAATAGTAATTGATTGTGGCATCCAGATAACAGCTTTTGATTTTCAGTTACCTAAGCAGAAAGAGATCTCTCTCTCTCTCTGTCCCTCACTTCCCTACAATATGTGTATATTTTTAAAAATTCCAGACAGATTGCTTTAATTTCTGCTCCTTTTTGATCCCTTCTTTGGTTCTTATTTCATAATACATCCAACCTTCATTTGTGGTTATGGACAACCTTCATGATGCTTTCCCCTAATTACACATTCGCTTACACATTGTTTACTTTAATACCGGCAATTCTGTCAGGAAAACTTCACCTACATTTGGCAGAAACATCTCAAATCTGAATAATGTCTGCTTAGTAAATGCACAACTTGGGCAAATTGGACCAAGTCTGGAAAATGCCCCTTCTTTGAATTCTAGAGCTCACAGAATCACCCAGGCTCCCTAACCAGTTTATGAGAGGTATAGTCCAAAAAAAGGGATGTTTGTAGTTTAACTTCTAGTTTTCCAGGAATTGTAGTTCAGCACTTTTCCAGACTCTATAGTTATGTCAATAATGGTGACATAAACATCCCAAACCTTATGAACTCTGAGAACAATAAAATTTAGTTTACCGAAACCAAAATCCACCAGGTTATGCAGATATAATTTGCCCTAAATTCTATTTTCAAATTCAAGTTTGCTTAATATCCACAGAAAGTCATTCCATAGAAAAGTTTGGATAATCTTCAACAACAACAATGTCCCATCAAGTCAATTCTGATGATGGCAACCTTTTCGAGGGTTTTCCAGATAGAGAATACCCAGAAGTGGCTTACCATTCCCTTCTTCTGGGAGCACCCTGGGGCTGTTCAGCTTGCCCAAAACCACACAGGCTGGCTCTTACTTGCAGGAGGCACAGTGGGAAATTGAACTCCTAAACTCTGGCTCCACAGCCAGATAGCCTAAACCAGTGGTTCTTAACCTTGGGCCACTCAGGGGTTTTTGGACTGCAACTCCCAGAAGCCTTCACCACCAACCGTGCTGGCTGGGGTTTCTGGGAGTTGCAGTTCAAAAACACCTGAGTAACCCAAGGTTAATAACCACTGGCCTAAACCATTAAGCTATCCAACCTAGTCTTTCTCAGTAACAGATATGAATGATATCCAAAATCCTCCAGGATATGATTTTGATAAGATGGTAGCTAACCTTGCTTTTCCAAGGGTTTGTTCCCATTTCCTAACATCAAATTGTAGCCTGTAACTTTCCGTACTAATTGTAGAAATTATTCATACAAGTGTTGTATTTTTTAATCCCTAAGTCAGGCAACATTTAGCTCTGAATAATTAAGAGGTTTAATAACAGTCACTCTAGCCAAATGACTTCATAAATGACTGTGCAGAGGTTAAAGAATCTGCTGTTGGTAGAGGAAGGCATAATGAGTGTAAAAGGAGAATTTAGGCTCCTTGATGTTTTCCATTGTTGTGGGTCAGCTAAATACCAGCTTGAAGATGTCAGAAGTTGTTTACTTTCTTGATAAAGGACGGATGTGGTGTCTATTTCTCCATTATGCATGGCACTCTTGGTCACTAATATTTGCAAATGTGTAAGATTAATCTGTTTCCAGAGGGGGATGCTAACAAGGGCATGTAACCTTTTATTCCCATGCAGACATATTTTAAACAAAGAGTCCAAGAAATTATCTTATTACCCTTTTTGGTCTCTTTAGTGGTTTCACGGCGCAGTGAGTAAAGAGGACTGCATGCCAGAAGCACTGAAGAATCTCATCTTTTCCAACTTTGAACCTTTGCACAAATTTCACACCAACTTTCTAAAGGAAATAGAGCAGCGCCTAGCCCTGTGGTAAGAGTCCCAGCTGCCATATTAATTTAAATGAAAGTTTGTTGCTCACCCTTCCACATCTTTAAATGTTTTTTTCCACCTGTTTATCTTTTAAAAGTATATAATCTCAGCTGGCATTTCTGCAAAAGCCTTTTTAATTCCTTGAAAACTCTGTGAAGCATGAAAGCTCATTCATATTCTACAAGAGTAGTTTTGCTTGCCCAGTAGAGTTGGGAGCATGAAAGGTTGGTCTTCCCTCTATTGAATTGCCCCAACTTCCAAAAATGCACACCTAGTTTTTATGGAAGGAGGACCCATACTACATTCAGAACAAAGAGTGACATAGTTGTTTGGGTTTTAGCTCACAAGATGTGTTCCAAGCTACAGTAGGTCACTTCTATTGGTTTCCCAAGGCCATACATAGCCATGTAGATATAATTCTATGAATTGTAACATTCATAGAATCTTAAAATAAAGGAGTTGAAAGGGGCCTATGAGGCCATTGACTCCGACTCCCCTGCTCAATGCAAGAATCCATATCAAAGAATATCTTAACATACTGGCCAGATTGTGACTTCCCACAACATATTCATCGTACCCAGGCTGAAATCAGAAGAGGCTCTAAGAAGACTCACACCTTCCACTTTTTCCCCCTCCTGGCAAGGAGTTGAGCAACCAAGGTGGTTGACTGTTTGAAATGAAACCAAGTTCACTTCTCTGTCTCTCCCCAGTGTCGTCTGTCCAACCCAGCAGAATCTCCAAGGCAATATTCCTAGGGATAGCCACTCTGCAGGAGGCCCAGAAATCCTCTGGCCTTCTCTACCTAGGCACTGACTCTGGAAACAGCTCCCAGTGGAGCTACACCTGGCCCCTTCCCTGCTAACATTTAGAAGGCGGTTCAAAATGGGGGATGGGATATTCCATTAACCAGAAGAATGTGCTGTGAGCTAGTGATCCAGAAACAAGACACTTTCCTTTCATATCCCTCCATATACTGTATTAATATTTGTAATAATAATCATCTTAGAACTGCAGAGTTGAAAGGGACTGTATAGATCATTAAGTCCAGCTCCTGTCAAGGAGGCACAATGGGGAATCGGACTCTCAACTTCTGGCTCCACAGCCAGATACCTTACATGTTGCTTTCTAATGCTACTTGCAAACTTTCCTGGCTAAAATGAGAATTAAAACACACACACACACAACATCCAGGTTTCATAGCAAGATTAGAATTAGGGAAACAGAAGCATATGTGCGTGATTGTGCCAATTTACTTAGGTATAATGTAGTAGTGAAATTGTTTTTCAGTGAATGAGCCCTCATAAGCCACCAGGCATTTTCTAAGAGCAAAGAAGCTAACTACTGAGAAGTGAGGTTTTGTGAATCAAATTAACTGTAGCCATATGTCTTGTATTTCAGTTGTATAAATGTGGACCCAGTAGTTAGGAGCAAGTGTATTCTTCCAAGCAGAACGAATCTAGCTATGCTGAGGCTTGAGCGAATTCAGCTGCCATAACATGGAACACTATTAGGTCTGTTGGGTCATGTAAAGGAAGGTGACCTTAGATGTCTGCTGACAGATGCAGTTTTTACTGCAGCATGTTAAATACTAATCTGGAAAAAATATTTTGCATTACATCATCATCAACTGCAAACTCTACACCATAACGTGGACACATAAAAGATGCTTATGAATCACGTTTTGCGTTACATCATCATCAGCTGCAAACTCTACACCATGATAATGTGGACACATAAAAGATGCTTATGAATCACTTTTTAAACATTATTATCAGCATGTTTGTTTGACAGATGTGATATGATTGTCAAGCATCCGTTATCTTTCCAAAAGCTTTACATGCAACACAGTGTTAAGGCCTTACTGAAAGTGCCCAGTGTGTGGAAAAAATCCATACTGGAGCAGTCAAGTGACATTATATCAATAGATCTCCTCCATGGCCACTGTGGACCTCACTGAGGGTTATCTGCATCTGTGCAGAACCTGTTCAGAACTCTCCCAACCCTTTTGAACCATGTCCAGCTCTAACCCCTCTGTACCTCTTTGTCTGCCACTGGAGTACCAGCAATTGGGGAAACTTCTTGCTGGTCATTTGAATTTCTCTGATCAATTTGCCTTTTCCATTTCTGTTTAATTTGTCCCTTAAAACTTCATTCACAACCTTTATTTTTGTCACATCCCATTTGATTTGTCTTTCATTGCACTCATTGATTTTTATTTGTTTTTTTCCACTTCGTGGGCTCTGCCCAAACGTATGCCTCCTAAAGTCTTGTTTCAGAAATGCAGCACGTACAGGGACAGTATAGTTCCCATGGATCATCATTCAAAGTGTTTATTCCGTCCCAGAGAGGCCCATCTCTCCCAGCCTTGTCCGAGTTGTAAAGCTTTCACTAAGCAAGGCCATAAACTGCTAGTGCACACGGCTGCCTTAGTAGTATGCACTAGCAGTTACTGAACACCTATGGCTGCATTTCAATATCTGCTCTGGGAGAAGTTCTCCATCACCTTCAGGGGGACTAATGACCACTACCTCTGTCTCTGTTTCATGAGCCGCACCTCCTTGCTAGTCATAAAACAACATCTGCTAGGCACATTGCTAATTTTGCCTCTAAGGTCATTGCCAGAGCTGTCTCACTGTGGAGGCACTCCTGGCTCAGTGCTCCAGAATAGTCTCACTCCATTATTGAGGATACGGTTTTTGAAGGTAATGGCCTATTCAGTGCCAAAATAGATGAATTCAGGGACTATCTTGTTAAAACATGTACTATTGTAAAGAATACATGTACAGTATTACCTCACATTCTGCCACTTACCATTCTCAGAAGCAGTCTTGGAAAAAAGCCCCAATACGAATATCACACTTACTCTCTCACAAGCTCTGTCTAGAGATGGGGATATTCGTATTTGTATGCAAATACAAATATCCCCCATGCAGCTGGACCTAATGAGGGTCCGGCCCCCGGGACCAGACCGTCCACTCACATGTCTTGCCACAGTGCCAGTCCTACTCGTTCTTCCAGTGGCACCTGGAGTTCCTCTCTCTTCCTGCTCAGCTAGCCACTCAGCAGCTATGCAGGAAGACCCATCCTCCCACCCCCTGCCTGGACTGGCCAGCTGAGCAGAACGAGAGTGGAGCTCCAGGTGCCATTTAAAGGATGATTGGGACCGGCCCTGCAGTCTGGTCCCGGGGGCCGGATCCTCATTAGGTACCATTGCATTAGGAATATTCATCTTAATCTTTGTATCTCATCCCATCTCTACCTCTGTCCACTCTTCCTTTCGAACCAGTCCTCACAAGCAGTCTTTCAAACATGAGTTTCCCTCCACATCATCTCCACAGAAATCTTTTTCAAAGTCCAGTTTTTGACAGCTCTTCTCCTTCTCCACAGACACAACAGGTCCACCCAGCCTAGTGTGCCACTTAACAACTTAGCACTCCATCACCTCTAACAGATGGATCCTACACATTGTTCTGGTGAAGCAAAATTCTATGGCATAGAGTACAATGTTATCCCACCTCTCAGGGGTTTTTGCTCCACCAGACCCTCTTACCCTACTCTGAGAGGAAATCTCAGTTGTCTTCTGAAGGGGAGCTATAGCACCCATTCCTTGTGAGGGTGCAGGACTATAGATTTCTTCTCCCAGTGCTTTACATCCCCAAAGCACACTGCAGGCCTCCATTCTATCCTGGATCTTTTCAGTCTCAATCAGTTCATCACTATTGAAGGCTTCTGGATGGTAACACTGTGGTCCATTCCCCCCTCCCCCTACTACATAAGGATGACTGGTTTACATCCATTGACCTCTGAGATGCTTACTTCCACATCACTGTCTCCTTTCTGGTCATGCCCTTTTTCTACCTCAGCCAAGATGTGGTTTTAACAGCCTTCTTCCATAACCCTACCTCACTGTTAGAGTTAAGACTTAGCATGCTGGATGTTCACCAGGAGATAGTCTTTTACCTCTGTGTAGAGGCTGTTTATCTACCATTTCTCATAATATGCTACTGCAGGGAAGGCTTGTTTGGTTTCTGAGGTTTGACTCCGTTACGTTCCATTCATGTTTTAGCAACAGTAAAGCTCAGTGCTACCCCGTCCATTAACAGCATTTACATAAGAACATTTTACTTCATAGGGATTGCACAAGAAAAAGATTACCATGAAGAAAAGTTATTAGGAAATGATGGACTAAATCTAATCATTAATTCTGACTAGAACAGATCCACTGAAGTCTAATTGAGTCAGTTTTAGCTAGTACTAACAATTGGCTTTAACACCATGGACCCAAGTAATCACTGTTTTAGACATTTGAACAACCTGATATGTAGAAATACAGAAATCTTATATGAGATCTTGCTTTACTATTCTGCATGTATGGAATAGCTCACAGTGATCACATTCAAAATGTGAATTCAAAATGTCTTGACTGTTAGAGCAGTATGAATTGAACCAATTGCCTTGGAAGGTAGTGAGTGCTCCAAGACTGGAGGCATTCAAAAGAAAATTGGACAACCATTTATCACATCTGCTTTGATTTGGTTTCCTGCATTGAGCAGGGGGTTGGATTTGATGGCCTTATGGGCTCCTTCCAACTCAATTATTCTACGATACTATGTGATGATTTTTCTAAACACTAATGTTGCAAAATCTTAGAACTACAACTGCCACATTTAACAGGTTATAGTAGTCAAAAGCTTTTCATTTTACTTAAAGGATGATTAATCTGGCTGCAGGTTTAACATCAGCAGTAGTTGTGATTATGCAACAGCTTTAGTATGTGATTAAGTATGTTAATTAGACCTATTATGTAACTAATTAAATAGGTTAATGTCAAATATCTCAGATATACTGATAATGATTACTAACATTTGTATGTATGTATTTGTGATTTCCTTTAAAAGAATCACACTGGTGTTCACAAAATATTTCCATAAGTTACTGTAGCTAATAGTTGCTAATTGACCAGGAGCCAGGACACATCTCTACTGTGTGCTTGAGTAGAT